TCTAGGTATTACAACTCCCACCCATGATATTCTCTACAATACTCTTGGAATGCTAATTAAAGAGCGAAAGATATATCACACTGGGGAAGGATACTTCATAGTAACCCCAAGTACATATTTTATTTCTAATAATGCTGCAAAGAGCAACAAGGGGGCCTTGCTGGAAGAGAAGTGCCTTTCTGAGCCTTCTTTCACATACCTTGTAAGCGTGGAAGACACTGCAGAGTTGGCACCCGATAATTTGCCTGTTGCATCACATTGCAGATCCTGTTATTGTTTCCTTGGGCACAATGAAGTGAGCCAAACAAAATGTCAGGAATTAGTTAGCCATGAGCCAAATGGGAAAAGTCAAAAAGATTCCTGTGAATCTAGATCTTCAGTTCAAAAACCAGGTACAGAGTCACTCGCTGGCAGTCGTTCTTGTGGAATCACTCACTCTGTACTTTCCATGAAGGAAAAAGATAAGGCTAAAAAGTTTAGTCTTAGCCTCTTTTGGCGCAATACTTCCAAGAAAGAAAAAACTAAAAAAGTCCACTCTACATTTTCTGCTCAGTTTCCTCCTGAGAAATGGCCAGTCAGGGATGAAGACGATTTGGAGAACATTCCACGGGATGTTGAACATGAAATTATCAAGCGCATCAATCCTGTACTGACTGTTGACAACTTAACTAAACACACAGCACTGATGCAGAAAATTGAAGAGCAGAAGAAGTACATCAGCAAAGGAACTTCTACAGAAGTGCTAACAATGAAGCACAAATATCCTTCAAAAGCATGCAGCTGGAAAAAACAGAATAAAGCAGCAAAGTACCATGGGAAGGGGCAGCGTATCAAAGAAAAACGGGGAAAATGTAAAACCAGTGAACTGATACCAGCTGATGACAATTTGGCAAGCTCTGTTGAACATCCATTATCTCACGTTACAAGTGAAGTGATGGTTTGCAATAAACAGCTGTGTGATGATGTGTTAGATATGGAATCTCATTCTTTATATAAAAGAGAAATTAATAATCCATTTAAAGATATTCCAAGTAGAAGGAATAAGTCAACAAAAGGTTATAAAACGCAGAAAAATGGTGATGTAAACTGCAGGGCTGTTAGATCAGAGAGGCATTGTTCATGGTCCCAGTCTTTAGATTCCTCAAGAACTATGGACTGTAAACCTAAAGTATCTCTCTCTGGAAAATGTGATGCTGAAGATGAGAAAAAGAAACAGTTAGATCACCCACAATACCAAGCTTTACGAACAGATGGCACACACAGATCTTTGGCAGAGAGAGCCACTTGTACGTGTAATTTGCACAGAGGGACAAACTCTCAAAATACAGTGGAGATCCAAGTTGCTTCTAAAGTTTATGCTACATTCAAAAATGAAGAAGAGAAAAGGTATCCAGAAAATTCTGTTCAAACTCACCATTGTGATAAAACTAATGTGTGTGATTTACTAGGTCAACATTTGGATGACTGTCTTCCCACTGATACAGATATTACCTGCCAATTTAAACAGGCTGAAAGTATTGCTGTTCACAGACAAGTGGACTTAAAGAGTGAGACAAAATCCAAGAACACCAGTAAATGGCTTGAGTCTGTTTATTCACAGTATGAGGAATTCATTTATGATGATCCAATTCAGTATCAAAAAGTGGATAATGGTGGCGCTCGTAGTTCTTTATGTAATGATCTTGTCCAGGAAGAAGAAATCGAATTGTCCAAGTTGAAATCTTATCAACTCCCATACAGATCTTCAGAGTCAGAGAAATGGAATAATATAAGAGAAGAAATGAGTCCGAAAGTGTCTGGAAAAGAAAGGGCTGATTCTCTCTTTCCAAACTACCCAACTGATACAGGTACCATTGATACATACAAACATGAAGAAAGTGGTTTTCTCAGTCAGACTAACTCAAAGGATAGCTTGAAGGAACATGGTAAAATGAACCTAGGAGGAGAAACTTGTATGTGCCATCAAGTGTCTTCTAAAAACAATGAAGAGAATGAGGGTGTTTATGATCAAGGGCAGAGAACTGATAATACTGAAAAGCATGTACTTGGATTCCATGAGGTGCAAGAAACAGACAACAGAATTTGGGAGAAGTCAGCAAATGAAGTGGCTATTGAAGCAACTTCCTTGATGTTGCCGTCCAAAGACTGGGAAATTAAGACACACCTTGTGGGAATACAACAGTCATTTGATAACACAGATGATGTTCCTCTAGATCGGCAAATCCAGCATGAACAAAACCATTTACAAGGCACAGGAAACCAAAGTATAACAGGAGATAGTGGGATAGATTCTCCCAGGTAAGAACAAACATGGGAGTACTATGTCTATTGAGCCTCTCCATCTATTTATTATACATAGCATGGCCTTCAAGGTTATGCATACTGGAAAAATGTTAATTGCAGAATTTAATCTTTCATCTCTGTCTACCCTTGAACATCACTCAGAAGCCATAGCTGATTCAGAATGCAGTTGCTTAGGTAGTTAAGGGTGCCTGTTGATTTGCTCAAGTAACATCACTACTGTGAGAGCTCTGATTGCCAGTTGGCTTTTAGTTGCAAATCAAGATGTTGGTTGTCACCTTCAAAGCCCTACATGCCTTGACACCTGGACACTTGTGGGGCCATATTTTCCCAGTGGTTTCTACCTGTCCAATAAGATCTGGTAGGAAGGGTATTGTCAGGCCTAGCCCAAGGAACTCCAAGAGACAATGCAGATTCAGTTCAGCTATGTTTATT